GGGACTCGATCCCAGGACCCTGGGATCATGACCTGAGCTGAAGGCAGTCGCTTAACCAACTGAGCCACCCAGGCGCCCCAAACACTGTAAGATTCTTATTAGAGATGTGCTCATAGAATCTCAGCATTGAGAAATCATCAACCCACCTCTTTTCACAGATAGAAATGGAAACTCTGAGACAGATAAATCTTGCCTATCTGGACTTTTTAGCTCATTAGATAAATAACAAAATTATGTGAAATTATATGTAATGTATGCATTTTATTTTGTTATCCTTATAGTGTAAAAGAATTCTTATAGTGCAATTAGGTAGAGAAAATTTACACATTTTGCGGATTTCATATCTTCAATGGAAAGTATTCTCCCCAACCTGCCTTTAAAAAAAGAAAAAAGTTAGTGTTCAGTATCAGAGATAATAATATCAAATCTTAATTAGGAATAACAATTTATTGTCTATACATTTTATTTTTCCTCTGCTTATTAGCATTTTGAATATTACAGGGATTATTCATTTCTTCTTTTTTGTGGAAACAAAGGCACTGTTGCCTCTTAAACAAGTAGCTGACTCCTGAGCCCTGACTGGCCTGGGGAGAGGAGAGCAGGTCTGCACCCTCCTTTTAGCTTCTCCAGAGCTGCCCTGGCAGTCAGTTCTCTCTTGACTCCAAAGCTCTCCATGCTCCTTGGGAAGGGGATACATGCAAGCCCAAAGGTGAGCCCTGCTGAATTCAGAAGACTGAACCGAGAGCTGAGTCTTCTCTGCCTAAATCTGATATCTGAAAGGAATCAGGTAGTGTTGTATTCACTTATCTGTCTTCCTAGAGCTCAGAGAATGGACAAGTCATGCCCATAGTTATTCCTCGAGTGGCAGCCTATTTTGTAAAGAAACTTTAAAGTAAGCCTGAATTTCTAAACATTGTTTCTGTAGCCTCACATGAATGGTATAAGAGCCCAACAGGTATATATTTTACATGTTTTTGCCTGTATATTTTTATCCCTATTATTCTGCCTGTCTGAAAAGCAGTCCCCACACCCACTCCCTCCACACCCACTCCCTTTTTAAAACTGGTTAGAGTTCTACTTATTCTTTAAAATCTGGCAAATTATGGGCTCCATGAAATTTTCTATAACTGTAGTTGGATTAAATGTTTTCCTTCCTCGTAACTGCTATTATATTTTGTACTACCTATAGGATTTTTAGCACATACCACCCTGGGTTGTTGTAGTTATTTATGTATGTGTCTTTTTCTTAGTGAGATTTTTTTTAAAGAATTGATTAATTTACTTTTTAAATAAGTAATTCAGTCTTCGTAGAAAAATTAGGAAGGAAGAAGTAAAAGGAAAAATCAATAATCACACTTCCCGGAGTCTCCAAAATAAACAAATACTATTAAACGTCATTAATGGTAATACTTACATAGCACTTCTAAATGCTTTAACATATTAATTTAGTGGTTCTCAAGTAGGAGTGTGCATCTGGATCACCCAGGGAGCTTGTTAAAACACAGATTCTGGGCTCCATATCCAGCATTCCTGATTCAGTAGATCTGGGGTGGAACCTGAGAATTTGCATTTCTAACAAGTTCCCTGGTGAGGGTAAGGCCCATGGACCTTACCTGGAGAATCACTGCATTAACTCCCTTAATCCACACCTTAACCCTGTGAAGTAAGGACCCTCATTATTAACATTTACAGGTGGGGAAATGACTTTCTCAGGGCCGCACAGCTAGTAAACAGCAGAGCCAGGGTTCAGTCTTGGACATAGTCAGTTCTGAGTTCATGCTCATAATCATGACACTGGACATATATGGGGTTAATAGAGCACAGAGCCACTCTGGAGATCAGAAAGATTTCACCGTAGAGGTAACTGAGAGGCAAGTCTTAAAAGAAGGGTGGGGATTCCTGGAAGGAAGGTTGTCATTGGGTATTCAAGCACATGGGGACAGCATGTGTACCAGCCTGGAGAAAAGAAAGCACATGGCAGTTATTGGAAACCTACACAGTTTGGTTTTGCCAATGCAGGCCTTGTTCCCCAGTTGTCCCTTGAGGGCAAAGGTCAGGGCCCTGAAATTCTGCACAAAGTATCTGGCCTATGTTAATGATCAGTGAATGCTTGCTGATTAGATTTTCTCTTGATAAGATATAATGAACATGACTTTGTAATGAGGAACTAAAATGTCAACACTTTTTTGTTAACCATGATAAAAATAAATTAGGCCATACCAACTTTGAGCTATGTCTTACTGTGAAAGTTTGGGCTGCTTTAATTTCATTATGGGTTGTGATGAATACTTCTTTGGGAGGTTAAGCTATTTAGCTTAGTGAAGCTCTTTCTATTTAATTGCTTTTTTTTTTTTAAGATTTTATTTATTTATTTGACAGAGAGAGACACAGCAAGAGAGGGAACACAAACAGGGAGAGTGGGAGAGGGAGAAGCAGGCTTCCTGTGGAGCAGGGAGCTGGATGCGGAACTCGATCCCAGGACCCTGAGATCATGACCTGAGCCGAAGGCAGAGGCTTAATGACTGAGCCACCCAGGCGCTCCTGTTTAATTGTTTTTTTTTTTTTTTAAAGGTTTTATTTATTTATTTGAGAGAGAGAATGAGAGACAGAGAGCATGAGAGGGAGGAGGGTCAGAGGGAGAAGCAGACTCCCTGCCGAGCAGGGAGCCCGATGCGGGACTCGATCCCGGGACTCCAGGATCATGACCCGAGCTGAAGGCAGTCGCTTAACCAACTGAGCCACCCAGGCGCCCCATGTTTAATTGTTTTTTAAAAGTGTGCCTATTTACAGGTTTTCAGGTGAAAAGAAATAAAAGCTGTGGAATAAGAATTGTAGTCTTCTGCTTCCCCTTAGTTCTGGTGACAGAGTCATTTCCTATTTATTCTACGTTTTCTCTCATTTAATCATATATCTTATTTTAATTGAATTGATTCTGCCTTAGGATAATAGAAAAATGTGAAAACATTTCAGATGGAAACACGCTAGTTCATAGGAAGACAGTTCTTTTAAAAATATCGCTATGGGGAGACACTATACGAGAAACAGAACTTTATGATTAGCAATAAGAACTAAAAATTCTCCAAGTTTTTTTCAAATGGCCTTCAATAGAAAGATAACCACAGGTGTGTGTGCAAATGGTCGTTCACATGCACGCATGCACTTTTGGAGGGTTGGCGAATTCTCCTATTCCTCTCTGATATAAATAAGGTGGGATATGTGCTTAAAGATAATTTTACATCTCTGTCCCATCCATTCAGTTTTACAGATTAGGTTACTGATGCTTTGAAAGCATTATATCATTTCCTTATGTCCATACATCCACTTAGAGATTCCAGAGCACTTTTGCATATATTCTCCATTGATCACACACATATTATTTACCTATAATAATTTTTCTTACAGGCCAGCTACAAATGCATGCGTATTGTGAAAACCCAGATATAGTGCTTTGTGGAAATAAGAGTGATCTGGAAGACCAGAGAGTAGTAAAAGAGGAGGAAGCAAGAGGACTTGCAGAGAAATATGGGTGAGTACTTTTGTGGAGAAATCTAGAGAAAACATTCCCAATTCAAACATTAGCACAATGGATAACAGAAGATGCGAACGCAAAAAATTGAAACAACACACTCAGATGTAGGCCTCGGGAAGTATAAATACCTACTTTACATATTAATATTATGTGATAGTGGGAACCCTAGGAAAAACATTGGGTGAGGGCCATGCTTCCGTCCCATTTTCTCAATCTCTTGGTGTTTAAAGACACCTTTGAGGGCAAATGCCCTAACTATATAAGGCTGCTTTCCCAAGATGCAAGTAGGAGATGCAGGGGGTAAGAAAATTCTCTCTGTTCAGCAAGAAAATTTCAAAGCCAGTTCATGTGAGGCTGTAGAGAGCCCCAGCATACAAGAAGGCCTATCGGCTTTGAAATTTCTATGCTGCGAGAGCATAGACATTCCCTTGGTTTAGGTTGTGTTTTTGTGGTGGAGAATCATCTAAATACTGTCTTCTTCCTTGAACTCTGGGAATAGGATCACAGTAGCATTAATTGGACATGAAAGAAGGGGTTAGCTGCTGCTTATTAAAATGTCAAGGGTATCTCTACAAAGGAATTTGTGCTTTACTTTCTTTCTGCCTCTAATACAATGAGAACTCAAATGTGTATATATTAATTACCCTTAATATAAGTGGGAGGCAGCAAGTGAAGTTGAGAAGGAAGGGAAGGTAGAGAGAGAGATAGGGGATGTTACCCAGCTACTGGCCCTGGTTTTTAGGCAGAATCCAAGGAAGCCAGGGGAGGGCCATTCTCTTTTTATTGTGTGACAAACTGCTTTGTTCTTCCTTGGACTGATGGAGGACCAGAGGACACTCGAGGATAGCTTTCACATTGGGAAGGGAGTAGAAGGATTAGGTTGGCCAGGTGGGAAGAAGTCAAAATCTGGAGAGTTTAGAATACCGGGTAAGGAGAGTTGCTGAAATCCTGGGGGGGCAGGGAGTTGCTGAAATCCTTTGAATGTGGAGGGATGTGATAAGTACTTGTCTAGATCAGTCTGGGGTAGTGGGGGGGTGAAGTGAAGGGAGGAAATACTAGAGACAGGGAGATTGTGGTGATCTGTTAGATGGGTAGGAGCTGCATTTGTGGAAAAGAAAAAGGAGTAAATCAGAGAAAATAGGTAGGGTTGGGGGCGGAACAGGATTTTAAATCTTTTTCAATTCTAGGGGTGGGGCAAGGCAGCATGGGGTTGGGGAGTGTATCTATTCCCATCAACTATACTGGCTTACTCTGGCACATATTTGCAGTAGGTTGTGGGGGTTTTCACTCTAGGGTAGACAGTGCCCAACCATGTTAGAAGCACCTGAGGAGCTTTTAACAAATGCTTGTGTCTGGGCCTCACCTCTGAGCTTCTGAGGTAATTGGTCTGGAGTGGTTTATCAGGCAAGATTCAATGGAAGAAACATACTTACATATAAAGGGATTTGGTACAGGTATTTGACCTTATGCACTTGTGGGAGCTGGTTAAGCAGTCCTTACGGTGTTATTTTGACACTGAAACTTGAAGTCCACAGGTCAGGCAGTCAGGAAGGGACGGTGTTTAAGGTGGGGAGAACAAACACTAGCTAGGACCCATAATGACAGAATGAAACCTGCCTCCGTGCTTGTTGCCTCTGACCTGGATGGTCTGGGTATCCTAGAGAATAACGGCTAAGCACATGCACCTGGCCGAGGAGTTGGAGAAACTGAAGGAGGATCTTGGGGAAGGTGGAGCCGGTACAGATTTGGTTGCTGGCTTATGCCAACCAGACGAGCCAGCAGGTCAGCAGTGATGTATGAGAGCTATGGAAAGTCTGCTGCTTCACTTCCACTCCCCAAACTCCCCCAAACCTCTCCTGCGATCCACCCTAACTGGAAAGGAAATTCTCAGAAATGTTGTTCAACCTAACCAAGTTGACGTGTCACAAAACCTCCGCAGGTGGGGGCCTGGGCATTGGTGTTTCTCAAAAGCTCTCCACATGATTGTTATTAGAAGTACCTGGGGAGCTCTTAGCAAATACTTGGATCTGGGCCTCACTTCTAATCTTCTGACACAAATGGCCTGGAGTAGTGATTCTGAGGTGGAGGCTGACCAAGCCCCACAGGCGATTCTGATATGCTCTTCTACTCTTGAGAGGCACTCGGGTAATGTGGTAGGAAGGAAAGAGGGAGGCCAGATACCACAGAGAATACTGAAGTGTCGAAACTGGAGCTGGGGAGCTATGTTGCAAGGGGGTGAGAAGGAAGTAAGTGATGAAGCAATGGAAACCATGGACCTAGACTGTGCTTTTGAGAAGTATGGTAGTGAGGCCAAAAGAAATAGGGTATCTAGAGGAGTTAGCTAGAGCCAACAATTATGTTCTCAAGTACTGGAGGGGAGCCAGGATAGACTTCTTCCCCCACTGGGTTTCTTCAGCCTTTTGTTTGTTTCTTCTGTTCTGGTTCTCAGGATTCCACTTCCTTCCTGGTAGCAAAGAGCCCAGCATTGCCTTCTGTCTATAGGCGGAGTCTGGGGAGCCAGGGATTGTCTTACATCTGTGCCCAGCTCACAAGCTCTGGGGAGTACTTCATAAGGGGGGCTCAATCTCAGGTTTCTGAGTTAAGTTAAAATGAGAGAAGGGATTAGCAGATAAGATAATGGAATCTATTGGAGAAGAAAGGAAAGAGATGGAAACAGAATTTCCTTAGGAATTAGGAAGCATAAAATACTGTTCTGGGGGCACCAGGGTGGCTCAGTTGGTTAAGTGTCCGACTGTAGGTTTCAGCTCAGGTCATGATCCCAGGGTCATGAAATTAAGCCCCATGTCACGCTCCTTGCTGGGCATGGAGCCTGCTTAAGATCCTCTCTCTCCCTCCCCCCCCTCCAACCACATGCACTTGCTCTCTCTCTCAAATAAATAAATCTTTAAAAAATATAGTTCTAGGCTGTTTGGCAATTTCAGAAGCAAAAAAAAAAACAGTTTAGTGCATATGCATTTCACAAATTTGACATATAAGTTTAATGATTATTTTCACAGATTTTTTCATTTTTAATACTATTTTTATTGATTGCACGTGTACTAAAGGGCTATGTTGATCACTTCATCTCCATGCTAATAGTAGTAAAATAGAGTATGGTTAATGGTACATCTTCGTATCATTTGTATGTTGTCTGATAAATTTGCATTTTTTTGTTACTATTGTGCTCCCTTTCCTCCCCAGTACCTAAAAATGAGTCATCGGTTCATAGTGCTTCTCTTAAATATACATGCACTTGGAGAATGAAAGACTGTGTCTCAGAAAAATTTTGCAAACCTAATAAAGAACATGTTATAGTACAAATATGGAAAATAAATCTGTCTGTGAGGACAAATAAATCTGAGAATAAGACTTTCATGCAGCAGCCAAAAATGGAAAGGGTGAATTGAATGTATGATGAAGGATATCAGAAATTTTATGTTTAGTAGACTAAGAATATATTAACCTCTAATTCCCTGTAATTTTTAGGTTTTTCTAGAACAAGGGCAAAATAATGCTTTCTAGTATGTTATATTGAAGATTGTCAATGAAGTCAGAGAAAGGAGCAAAACAAATGTTTGTCCAAACTTGTCCTCCTGCCAGTCAAAATGAGGATGGGCTACACTGTTGCCAAAACACTTTAAAAAATAGCTACAAAGTCAAATATGTAAGAAGAGCAAACAGAACCAGCATTGGCAACATTCCTCTTTGAGGTGATACTATTGGATCTCAAACCTTAGTGTGTATCAAAATCACCTGAACTCTGGCCCCCCCGGGGAATTTCTGATTCACTATATCTGGGGTGGAACCCAGACATTTATGTTTCTAATTCCCAGATGTTGCTCCTGCAGGTGGTTGAAGACAGCACTTTGAGAACAATTGGTGTGCAAGTCACAGGTGTGCGTGCTGGCAGACACTTTCCTTGACAGTATAGTTGAATAAATCATTATGCACAGAATATGAAGCAGTTGTCTACTGTGCCATGCATGGGTGAAGGAAATGTGCTTAATGACTCATCACTGGAAAATCCATGTTTGAGGAAGGAGGATATACTTTCTCTCTCACATTGATTAAATCAGCTGTGATATAGTCTGGGAAGGGACACTGGGATTGGTACTGAGGGAGTGCCAGCCATAAGTGGGCAGGCAAGGACTTGGTGAGTAAAAATAGCTGCACCTAAATGCCCTCCCACTCTTCTTTTTTCACACAGGATAGTTGGTGGTCATTACAAGCCTTTCGTTTTCGATTCTGAGTTGAAGGAAATACAGAAAATTGTGAATATGATGAAAGCATAATAATTGAATGTGTACATATTTCATGTGCTATACAAAGGAATGGGTAGAACATTTTTTAAAATTGAGAATAACTGATATATAACATTATATTAGTTTTAAGTGTACAATGTAATGATTGGATATATGTATATATTGCAAAATGATCACCACAGTAAGTTTGGTTAACATCCATCACCATATACAGTTATAATTTTTTTCTTTTTTTAAAGATTTATTTATTGATTTGACACACATACAGAGAGTGAGCACAAGCAGGGGAAGCTGCAGAGGGAGAGGGAGAAGCAGGCTCCCTGCTGAGCAGGGAGCCTGATGTGGGGCTTGATCCCAGGACCCTGGGATCATGACTGAGCTGAAGGTAGACGCCCAACCAACTGAGACACCCAGGCACCCCAATTTTTTTTTTCTTCTGATGAGAACTTTTAAGATCTACTTTTTCAAGGGCAGCAAGTTTAAGATGACTTTTTCCCCACTAAAGGATGCTGGCTATTGATGAGGAAGGTGCTCAAGAGTTTCTGGATTAAAGAATGTGTTAACATTTATTTACATTAGTAATATGAGTACAGACCATTTCTGGGTTTCAAGTGGCTTAGCTCAGCAGAATGCTCAGTGTCCTATCTAGTCTGAACTAGCTGAAATGTGGCATGAATAGCTTGATCTCAAATAATTTGATTCTTTGCATACTTTATGACCTCCTTCCTTCACGTA